ATTACAGACAATATATGTATTCTTCAGGAAGTGGTCCACTCGATGCAAGCAAAGGGAGGTAAAATAGGGTGGATGGTCCTGAAGGTTGATTTGCCCAAGGCTTATGACAGGATCAAATGGTCATTTGTGCGTGACACCCTGGAAGCTGTGGGAGCCCCAAGCAGATTCAGAGAACTAACTATGAGTTGCATATCAACGGCTAAGATGCAAATTCAATGGAATGGTGGGCTTACTTAGTCATTTTCTCCCACCAGGGGACTTCGGCAGGGCTGCCCTCTATCGCCCTATATCTTTACTCTCTGTATGGAGAGATTGGGGCACTTGATTGATGCAGCTATTGATACAGGGGAGTGGAAGCCTATACGACTATCTCAACGAGGCCCGAAGCTATCGCACTTATTTTTTGCCGATGATCTAATCCTCTTTAGTGTGGCTTCGATGGAGCAGGTTCAGGTGATCTCGAGGTGCCTGGTGGAATTTGGATTGGCGTCTGGTCAAGAGGTCAGCCGCCCAAAGTCAAGAATATTTTTTTTGAAGAATGTTTCGGGGTCTCTCAGTGCATCACTAAGTTCAACACCCAAAATTGACAAAATTGACAAAGAATCGGGGTCTCTCATTGACAAAATTGACGCCAGGCTTGCAGGATGGAAGGTGAACTCTCTATCGCTGGCTGGCCGTACAACTCTAGCTCAGTCAATCCTGGCTTCACTTCCGGCCTATACGATGCAGACTAATCTCCTCCTTGCATCGGTAAGGGAGTATATTGACAAGAAAATCAGAGCCTTTATATGGGGGAGCTCGGAACAGGGAAGAAAGATACATCTAGTGGATTGGGAAACGATGTGTCGCCCTAAGGCGGAAGGGGGGTTGGGCCTGAGAAGTGCGACGAGAATGAATGATGCTTTCATGCTTAAAATTGCTTGGCGACTTTTTATCGAGCAGGATAGTCTTTGGGCGCAGGTTATTCGTGGGAAATATCTTTGAGAGATTGATGGCGTTTGGCAGCCGCGAAGGACTGGTAGATTGTCGAACCTCTGGAGAGGAGTCCTTCTGGTCTTGCACTGTATCCCGGAGTGTACTGTGTGGAACATAAGAAGCGGGATGCAAACTCTATTCTGGACCGAGAGATGGTTGCATGACGGCCCTCCACTTAAGCATTTTGCGGCCGATCTCCCTAAGGAAGCTAACGGGATACGTGTTGCGGAGGTAGTGTTGAATGGAGAGTGGAATCTAGCTTATATTCGGGCCTTTCTCCCTGAAGCCCTTGTTCTTCAGATACAGCTCCACCAGGTGCCGGAAGGTATCGAACCTGACGTTCCAACCTGGCGAGCCTCAGAGACGGGGAGGTTCACGGTACACTCAGCTGCTGACCTAATGCGAGATGAAGAAGACATTAGAGAGGAACATCCTGTATGGCGGGCTGCTTGGAAGATTCAGGGGCCGCAACGCACAAGATCTTTCTTTTGGTTGGTCCTGCATGGGAAGTTGCTCACAAATAAGGAACGACGGCGGAGGCACCTGGAAGCCTCGGACGTTTGCCCAATCTGTGGGGAGGGGCCAGAATCTGTTATTCATGTGCTCCGGGACTGTAGGTATGCGCGTGAGGTTTGGTCGGAATTGTTGGAAGGAGAGTCGGACCAGGTGTTCTTCCAGGAGGATGTAATAAAGTGGGTGCTCCATTATATCTCAGGCAAGAGCAACGTCATTGGGCAGTCCATCTTCACAATATTACGTTGGCAACTATGGAAGAATCGAAACCTCTGGGTTTTCGAGAGGCAACTTGCGCGGCCAAATCAACTTGTCCAAGCAGCCAAACAGATAAGTGAGCAAGCAGCAGAGGCTTTCGAGAAAGGGAAAGCAATCGTGCAAGGGGACCAATCAAGTGTGAGGAGTCTTATATGCTGGTAGAAACCTCCGCCAGGGTGGATTTGTCTGAACTCAGATGGGTCGGTTGTTTTGGCACAGGGCAGTTCGGCGGCGGGAGGAGTTTTACGTGATAGTGATGGACAGTTCAAGGCGGCCTATGCTATAAATCTGGGCGGTGGCTCTATTACAAGTGCGGAGCTGGCGGGGATCGCTCATGGTCTCCAGATCGCATGGGACCGAGGTCACCGGCAGGTAATGGTGCAGACAGACTCTGTGACAGCTCTATCCCTCATCCAGGGAGCCTCTATTTCTCATCCTCATCACACGATGGTGTCCTATATTCGGCGGCTTCTGGCGCGAGAGTGGATTGTCTCGCTTGGTCATGTGTTCAGAGAAGCAAATTTCACAGCGGATTATTTAGCATCGGTGGGTCACTCCCTACCTGTGGGTGTGCATTTGATTACCAACCCGAGTTCTACATTGCGGTACTGGTTGTATTTTGACTCTATTGGTGTCCAAACCCCGCGTTCGATTAATATTTAAGGGTTAGAGCGCCCCTTTGCGCTCTGTTTCTCACCAAAAAAAAATCATTCATTATAATTTAGTTGCAATTGTCCGTCTCTCTTTTTTTTCTCATTTTTCTTAGGGACCACCAAAATTATTCAAACTCCAAATAATATATTTTTCAAATTAATACATTTAAACAATACATCTAAAATTCATATCTTTATAGACCCATAGATACACTAAAATTCATGTAGGCATACGCATAGGATGAAGCAAACGAAAAGTGAGAATTCTCTGAAATGAGCACTGAACAAACGTCGTCGGCGACAGGCCTCAATCCTTCCGATCGGCCACCTGATAAGGCTCCTCCAGCCGACAAGCAGACGATCGATGTTGAGATGACAATCGACACCTCCCCTCTTACATCGGTCAAACCTCAAGCTGTTTTAACGCCCCCACCAGTTTCTTACGCGGGAGTAGTGACCAGGACCAATGGAGAAAAGAACAAGGCGGTAGTCACCACTCACCTGGACGCCGATTGGGTAAAATGATTTGATACCAGGCTCCTTCCAAGGAGAACTGAAACTCAAGGTCTCTGACAGCCTCAAAGCTAAACTGTGTGCGCCATGACAACTAGCGTACCTTGGGCCGATCCCGAGAGAGGCCCCATCGTCGTCAGCTGCTATGAACTACGTGACTCAAGCCCAACCTTTGGGCGGGACAGATGTGCGGAACTCGACTGGTAGCAAGCCCATGATTGAGGTGGGTCGAGGGAGTTCTGGACTTACACAACCGGCGATTAAGTCTATTGCTGGCCCAAATAATACTCAAAACCAAATAATACTCAACCCCCGACACCTCTTTGCCTTTTGTTTCTACTCGCACGAAGACTCGCACGAAGACTTACAAAAACCAGAAAATGAAAAAGTCAAACTCACCAAAAAAATCCCCTAGACCGATCACCACCAGAGCCCTCCAAATCTGGACTCCGGTAAAGGAGAAGAAGAGCAAATCACGTACCAAACTTGCGACCCTAACGTTGCAAGAAATCGACGCATGGACTTCAGCGGCCACATCCCAATCAGAGACCGATGTGCTGAATCTCCTGCTTAGCAAAGCATCAATCTCCGAGGTTGATGGAGCAGCGCCTTCCGCAAACCTTTCCTAGACTTCACCTGGACCCTCTGTTTCCTCCTCCTCCCTCTCTCTTTATAGTTTTTGTTTCCCATGTCTCGGTCCTTTTTTACCGGTTTTAAATTTCTCTCTTAGAACGTGGGCGGCGCAGTGATACAAACCTATTTCTAGGGTTCTATCGAGACCGGATCACCTCAGTAACCCTTCCATCAGTAACCATCAGTAACCCCTTCCCCTGGCCCCCACGTGTTAGCCTTTTTCTTTTATTAAAATTCAACACGGAGGGGTAATAGGGTAAATTGTACCCCCCTATTTAATGCTGACGCTAACGCTCTGACGCGGATCCCACTCTCCCACCCCACCTAATTCTCCTCTCTTTTACTCTTTGTTTTATTATTAGAAAAAGTACATTATTTCCTCTCTCTCATCTACAACAAAAATGAATCTAATTATCCTAGCTATCTTTGCTCAAATTTCAACTCAAATTAAATGGTGATTTTTTTGTTAAATAATTTAGTGCGAAAGACAGTAATTACAAATATGAAATTTATTATCACTGTCTACTATCATGGTAAACCATGGTAGAATACGTTGAAAAAAAATTACAAATCTAACTACCATACGCTACCAGTATACCACATGGTATAACGTCGTAAAACATGCTACAGAAATTTATAAATCTATTTACCATATCATACCATATGGTATAACATGCTAAAATAAAATTACAAATCCAACTACCACCACATGGTAAAACATGTTACGAAAAATTATAAATCTAACTACCATACAATACCATCATAGTAGAACATGGTTAATCGAATGAACACAAATTAATTGTAATTACCATACAATACCACATGGTATGAGAAGGTAAAACCATACAAAAATAATATAAATCTAATTACAACCTTTACAACCATAGTAAAACACGATATCCATAAAAATACATTTCGTTACCACACTTTACCATATGGTATAGACACTTTACCATATGGTATATACACATTACCATATGGTATATACACATTACCATATGGTATAGTGTGGTAATCTCAGTATATATATATATGGGTCAGACTGGCGTACGTCAGGCGTATAGTATACGTCAGGTACTACTAGTGAGATATCTCTATCTAGACCATGAATTAAATCGAGTTTGGGGTATGATACTATACCCTAACCTCTAATGGATAAACCCCAGGCACCCATTTTCTAAACCCTAACCTGAAGTTTGATTAAATGAAAAACAAAAATTGACCGTTGAGATCGGCCGGAGCTCATCTAACTACATCTAACGGCTAGATCACCTGACGTATACTATACGCCTGACGTACACCAGTATTCACCATATATATATATATATATATATATACAATTACGACTCTCTTCACTTTCTTCTTAAACTTCATTGTCTTCTAACTCTTTTTTCTCAGAACTGGAGTCGATTACCACCCACTACCACCATGATTAACTCGTGACCATAAAGATACATTTAGTTATCACACATTACCATATGGTATAGTGTGGTAATATCAATATATATTACCTAAAAGGAAGAAAAACAGAAGGAGGGAGAGACAAAAAAAACTCGTCTTCTGTCTCCTCTCATTTCTCCTCTGCAATCAAGAACACCAAATGCAACAAAAAAAGAGGAGGAAGATCGGAATTGAAAATACACAAACAAATACTAAAATATAAAACATGCAAACTTAACTCACATAGATCCGTCCCCTCTTGGTCAATATGAAACATCATCTATTTTGAGGCCGAGAAAAGAAAGAACATAAGGAAGAAGCAGCTGCAAAGAAGAAGGATTTGGAGCGTCGCCAGATTTTGAGACATGATGCTGCAATTTTTCTTTGTCAATTGTTGAAGAAAAAAATAAAGAACAAAAGAAAGGAACATATCTAGATCTGGGAAAAGGATTTTGGAAGAGAGAAGGAAGGGAAAGAGAAAAGTCTGGTTTCTCTTTCCTCCGTAAAAATAATTATATAAATGCTAGAAAAGTAGAAAAAGACAAGAAATAAAATTCAAAAACCGGACAAAAATGCCCCTGCCACCTCCCGTCAATCCCAGCCACACAATGATTCTGTCCCAAATCAACGGCCCATAAGTGATTACTCATGGTTACTGACCCCATCTCCAGCCGGTTCTATCGGTTGAGTTGTGGAATTGGGGATTTAGTGATTAAAGAATAGAATTAGAGATTTGAGAAGAGAAAGATAGGAAATCGGCTAAGCCTTTAGAGGGATTGAGATCGAGAATTGAGAGGATAGGGAGAATAGGTTAAGAAGATTGTTTTCTTAACCTTCTTCTTATTGATTATAACTGAATACCCAAGTACATATTTATAGGAAAAGATAGAAAAACCTAATAGTAACCCTAATACGACTAAAAGACTACTAACCATAATATGAATAACCCAAATATTATTATAATAAAAACCTGACAGAAATCGGTTTCTATCATCCCCTCCCACTTGAGACCAACCTTGCCCTCATGGTTGATCAAATAAAATAATGCTACTAATCATATCGATATATGGAGCCCAAAGGAGCACGATAACCATGCCCTCCCTCGTCTCTATAGCTTAGCCGGCAGGTGAACCCGCTTCCGTAGTCGCGGCTTAATCGGCGTGCAGCTGTCTTGATCGACGGAGTGCGGCAATCTTCAGGGCGCCGTGGTGGAGGCCAGTACCCTTCATCATCATACTCGCGTTCATCTTCATAGGATTCATTCGAGCTCTGTTCCACGCGATACACATGTCCTGGTTTTAACATTGTCGTCTCGTGACCATGATAGACACGATAATTAGCCCGTTTGGTTCGTCCTGTTGAATCGGGATCCAACCCGTGTTGGTCCATCGGATCAAACCATTTTTGGTTTGGCTGGACACAATTGTTCAGAGGGCTCAAGCCATAATCCATCGAGTCATACTTCTTTCGAAGTGACCCATAATCCATGGGTCCAAAATTATGCACCTTGTAGTTCACGAGCCTCGAATCCCCTACATCTCCCTGTCCCGTGTTGAAGTCGTCTGAAAAACCATAGCCCACCAACTTCTTTTCCGGCGTAGTGTAGGAGTTGTTGCTTCCTTGGTCGCCAGAGCTGTCGTTGATGTTGGACTTGGTATGATTCCCCAAGAGACGACTGACTAATGGAAAACCGATACCGAGTGGTTGCCCGCCAATCCGTGGAGTCATAACATTGGCTAGCGGCTCGGTGGAGTCATCCGGGAAGGCAGCCTTTGGCGTCTCCTTGTCTGCCATAAGTGGTGGTGGGAGCAACTCGATCAGCTTGGCTGATGGGGTGATTGGCACATCTTTCATTGTGGCAGCCGTAACCGACACCGGAAGTCGCTCGAGTGCTTGAACCCTCTCCTCAAGGGTGTTATATTTGGCGGTGGTGGACTAGGCAAGGTCGATGATCATCGCACGGAGTTCCACGAACGGGTGAGAGATGACTTGAGTCAGGGTGTTGGTAAGGAGAAGGGTTATGGACGTATGAGGTGGTGGGGGCTTAGATGGATCGGAGGATGGATGGATATTCAATTGAATCAAACACGTAGAACTAGTTCCCGGTTGAGAGTTGTGATGAACTCGTATTCACAACCGGGCTCTGATACCAGATGATAGAAACCTATTTCTAGGGTTCTATCGGTTGAGTTGTGAAATTGGGGATTTCGGGATTAAAGAACAAAATTAGGGATTTGAGAAGAGAAATATAGGAAATTGGCTAAGCCTTTAGAGGGATTGAGATCGAGAATTGAGAGGATTGGGAGAATATGGTTTAGGAGATTGTTTTCTTAATATTCTTCTTATTGATTATAACTGAATACCCAAGTACATATTTATAGGAAAAGATAGAAAACATATTAGTAACCCTAATACGACTGATGACTCGATATTTGCACATGTTTTCCCCTTTGTTTCTTGATCGTTTAAGCTTTAATTATCGCTTATTTGGCCTATTTTATGCTAGGTTGTGTTCCTTTGTCACATTTCAGGTCCTAGCACATAAAGTGAAGCGTAGGCGCAAGTTTCAAGTCAATCGGAGATCAATTGGCGACTCGGGGGAAGAAACTCGGGTCTGACTTGAAGAATAATGGATTTCTACCTCCGTTTGTGACCATATAATCATGTAATCTTGTCATGAGAAGAAAGAGGACGAGACTACGAGCTTCTGGGATCAAACGACACCTGATTTGGAGTCTGAACGAGGGAGAAACGAAGAATCAAAGATAGGGGACCCGCAACTACAAAATACCCGACCATAATACCCTACCGGGTATTTTGACCATCTGGTAGGGTATTTTTGGCAGCATCAGAAGGCCCCCGGTCGTGAACCACAAATACCCGACAGGGTATTTTCCCTTTTGCCCAGAAGAGTGACCCGGAGCATTTTGTTGATGCCCGACCGGTTCCCTAAATACCTTACCGGGTATTCTGACCGGGGATCACGAACGCGGGCTGTTAAAAGCCTGTTTTGTGCGTTTTTGCAAGTGAGAGCTGGGTTTTGGATCCCGAACACCCAAGGGACGAACCAAAGAGAGAGAGGGCGATTTGAGGGCATTCTAAGAGTGGAATTGGAGGATTTATTCGCCTTGGAAGCTCGAGGAAAAAGCCCGGACTTGAAGACTATTCATATGAAGATTCTTACTGCAGTCTCTCTCTTCTCTATAGAGTAACTTCCCTTCACTTAGGTTTTGAGGAACCCTAGCTATGTTTATTTGATTGGATGATTGTCTGAGTACTCCTAATTGATAAGCTTGAGTTCATATTCAATCTATGTATGTTTTCAGGATTCAATTATGCTTTAGTCGAGATTATTGATTCTGCTTTGATCCTATGAGAGCGAATACCTGATTAGGTCAATAGAGCATCATAGATTGATAGTATTGGATCGATTGCTTTAGTTGAGGGTTGATTCACTGCTTTGTATCGATTGAGAACCTCATTCGATAGAGGGAGTCTAGTTCAGAACGCCTTGATCGGTTGTTCTAGAGAAGGACACGTTGCTCTAGGCAATCGACTCAAGAGGGCCTTGATCCTTTAGTCGAGATTCAAGGTCTAGTCAAGGATTCTCCGCATTGTGAATGAAAGTGAAACAAGTTAGAAATCATCAATCATTAATCTGGCTAGGGGCTAGGGGAATCATACCAAAATGAGTTCCCAACCTGTAATGAGATTAACTTTAACTGTAGTTTGTTAGAGTAGTTTTAGTTGTTCCATCTTAATCTGGTTTGCTAGATAATGAACTGAAGCTGAGTAATAGTAACTCTAGAGACTCGTGGATTCGATATTTATTACTTGAGCCACTATACTGCAGTCCCTTTCATTGGTTACACTTGGCCATTGTTAGGAGTTGTGTCATAGCGAGTCAAGTATTTGGCGTCGTTACCGGGGACTTTCTAGATTATCAGGAAAGGCAGAAGTTTGTTATTTTAGCATTTTTATTTTCTTTTTCGCCCTTGCTTTTCACTTGGGTGTTTTTGTTTTTGTTGGTGCAGATCTGAATCATGGATCCTCATGGCTTCTCCAACCATTGGGTGTATCCACCACCATCCGAGTGGTAATACCCCCAGACTCCCTGGAGCAATCAAGGAGGAGAAGACTATGGATTCGGGTTCCAGTACCAACCCCCTTACTACGGAGAACAATCAGACCCCTGGGCATATCAAGAACAACTGACTCGCTGTTACTGTCACTCTAGAAATTGGCCAAGTGTAACCACTTCCTAAAGCGTAGTATAGCGGGTTTGGGTTTTAATGTCAACCCGGGTCCTAGATGTGATGACTACTCAGTGAATTCGTATTATCTAGCGAGGAAACTTTAGTGAAGGTCTAAATTAACAAGCAAGCAAAGCAACTAAACGGTTGTATTCAGGTTAAGAGAGGTCACCCGGATATGGTTCCCCCTAGTCTGCAGTTAAGCCGGATTGTAATTACCAAGTTCGATTTCTATGATAGTTATACTGCGGAAGGTTCTCAAACAGTCTGAAGTCTCGACTAAAGGTCTTCAGACCCTCTCAATCTGAGTCTCTAGCTGGCGACTAACCTACACCGGAGTAAACAGATTGAGGCCCTAAGAACGAAACCTCCACTACCGAATTGACTTCGGTACAGAATAGCGAATTGGCTCCTCGACTAAAGTCACCAATTCGCCACCTTCGATTAAGGATACTCTATCAACCTAGTCAGATATTCTCATTCTAGGTTAAAGCAGAAACAACATGAATTTGATCAGGATTCAAGTCATTCAATCATTCAAACCTCAATCGAATATAATCAATATCATAGAATCAATACTTGGGTTCATACAATCAAACCTAACATACAGAACTAGGGTTTCCCATACCCAGATGAATGGGAGAACTACTCCATGGAGAGAGAAGCAAAAGCAGAATCAGACGCGGAAATCATACTGTGAAGATGGATTTCTGCTCCTGGACGTTGAATCGACACTTCTCCAAGCTCAAACCAAGCTCCGATGGTGTTGAAGATCGATCTAGGGCACTTGGAGGCTCTTGTTCGTCGCTTTCTCTCTCTAGGAACCGCTCTGTCTCTCAAAAACTCGAATCCCCTTCTGTTTGCTCGAATTAGGCTTTAAAACCGGCTTTCCCCGAGTTGCACGGCCAGGTGCACGGCCGTGCACTACACAATTCTAGCCGTGCACCCTCAAAACGCACCGTATCAATTATTCGGCCTTCATCCACCTTGCACGGCCAGGCGCACGGCCGTGCAAGCTTCAAGCCTGCCCGTGCATGGCCTCGGCGTGAGGCGCACGGCCAAATGGCTCAAGTGCACGGCCGTGCAGCCTCCTGGTCTGCCCGTGCACATCCCAAACAGCTCGCCATTCGTCCGTTCTTCGTCCAATCGACCCCATACTCGCTCCTAAGCCTTCATTCACGTCC